TTCTGGCGTGAGGACAAGTCCAGAAACCGCGACTTCCGAGTTCCTCCAAACGACAAAACATGATAAGGAATTCTTCACTTACTGGTAAGACATGTGTGAGCTAAGTATAGGGCCTTGCCACTAACGATGTCGATCTATTGCAGTAAAACGTGCACTTGGATGCCAAATATCGTTACACCTTTGCATACGCTAGCGTGTGGGAAGTGAGCTGGTCTTTCTGCATATTCTAACTCTATACAAGCATATACAAATGTCCAATCAGTGTCTCCAATATATATGTGATCCTTCATCCATCTAGCTTAAGCATGTTGAGAGGCATCCAAAGACATTAATTCATTTAATTAATTTGTGCTATGAACAGCTAATTCATACCCGAGCCGGCCGATACCTTTTGGTTGAATACACATGAAAAGCAGAACACAGCTCGAAAGACGCTGCTCAAACAAGCGGTTATGTCTCTGTAGTGTCATCTTGCAGAATCAAACCGTCCTTGCATGCTCTACATACGGTTAGTAAGCGGCGGAACCAAACAGAGCGCCGGATTGAGCGCGCCTGGGAGGCTGAGATGAGAAGCCTTCAAGTTCAACACAAACGCTCTCATGCGCCTTGGCTCCCCCTCTCCTCGGCTCTCGTTGCGGGACTCAAGCCTGGTGACAAAAGCCACCTAGGTTTTGATCTCGAATGCTCTGATGTGGGCAACGGCGAGATCCCACTGTAATTTCTACCGGATTCACCTATTGTGTTTGTGAGTGCCCATGGCCGCTCGGGACGTCCTACGGCGTAATTCACGCACCTGCTTGATGCTGCAGCATCATTCTTCCGATTATTTTTGCAGGCATATTTGTCGCATCCAATGGCAGATTTACGACCGTATATATCGATGCCCTTTTCGTTTGTGTCAGCGCCGCAACAGGGACGGGACTGTCCACCATCGACTTGAGCTCTTTAACTGCGTGGCAGCAGACTATACTCGTCATTTTAGAAATTGCTGGAAATCAGGTGCGTCTTTATGCTTATTTCTCTACAGCCGACACTGACATCTGTAGTTAGGTTTTCGTTTGCTGGATTGTTGTCTTTATTCGAAGGTGCCGAGGACTCCGCTATTGCGTTTGTAAGCCCCGCTTAAGTAGTGCTTTGGTCCCACCAGATATTATTTTCGGAAACATCTTGATCACGTCGTTAGCGTTGAACAGGAATTGCGACGACCATGGGCGCACCGTGATCCCCAGCACAGCTCCCATTTACTCCGTGAACTTAGCAGGCACACACGGCTAACTCCAGGCCTACCCCGCAATGAGGAGCTGAAAACTCTCGAGCGCAAGAACTTGGATCAATCAGCGGAGGGGCGGATACGCCCAGATATGGTTCGCCGCGTCGACATCGCACTGCGGCCCGTAGACCCCATGGGCGTCCCCACGCGACCAGTCACCCCCGACTCGACGATCACTCGTAGACGCGCGACTTTGAACGACATGCGTGGTGATGACTTGGGAGAAGTATATCCCTCTTCCGATGTGGGATTCGGTGGTTTCCCCGGCCCCAGGGAGGTCTTCACTCGGACGTCACAGCGGCTCTTCCCCAGGTTGCATCGTCGATTCCAGAATACTCTCACAATGCCCCGCACCTCAACGTTCATACCCCAGGATGCACATGGAATTGATTCTCAGCACATCGCCTCCTCTATTCGTCCAGTCCCGTATTTATCTTTTCAGGTGGACGTGGGCAAGAACTCAACATTCAAGGACCTGAGCGAGGAGGAGATGTTGGAGTTAGGAGGCGTCGAATATAGTGCGTTAAATGCGCTAATGTGGATAGTACCTTTGGTGAGTACATACGCACATCGTCCATCTCCCCAGGTACTCACATGATCCCCAGTACTACTTTGGTCTCCTGGCGATCGCTATCATTATCATTACACCCTATATGGCTCTGGCCAGCCAATACAAGGATGTCTTCTTGCCTCCGATGCAACACCGCAAGATCTCGCCAATCTGGTGCGTCAGCATCCCATCGTGTGCTGAGGCTTGCCGACTCACTGCGTAACGTATAGGTTCTCCATCTTCCAGGTTGTTGGCGCATGGGCAAACACAGGCATGTCCTTGGTCGATCAGAACATGATACCTTTCAAGATGGCCTATCCCCTTATTTTTGTTCTATTCTTCTGTGTACTCGCTGGTAATACTGCATACGTGAGTCCATACACGCAACTTTTGGATCCCGGACTGAAGCCACCGAATAGCCTGTTTTGTGAGCTTCTGCAGTAAATCAAAATTTCCTTAATACACTGAATCTAACAATTTGCCGTTTCAGTCTTCGGCTTATGATGTGAGTCTCTACTTGGAGCTCAGAGGCCGCGCTGTAAACCTGTCTGTAGCTGGTCTCTCTACAAGCTATTCCCCAAAAAGTCCCCGACGTGCAAAGCGCTCAAGTTTCTCTTGGACCATCCAAGACGATGCTTCATCACCCTATTCCCAGCGCACCAGACGTGGCTCCTTCTCTTTGTCTTATTCCTCATGAAGTGCGCATCTTTTGCTGGACGTCGTATGCGCGCTGACGCATCATCTCACAGCATGGTGCTGTTTGTCGGAGATCTGGTCCTTAATATCGACAATCCCGCGACGGACGCAATCCCGGTCGGAACGAGAATTGCGCTCGCGGTGTTGTCTTCCGGGGCAGTGCGCAGTGCCGGCTTCCAAGCAGTCGCGGTTTCATCGCTGACACCGGCGACCCAGTAAGCGTGCTTCTGTCTGTCCCGCGAGCGAGCTATGCTGACGGATGGCCCAGAGTCTTGTACGTTATCATGATGTATATTGCTATTTACCCCATCGCCATGAGGTGCGTGTGCTCCCCAAGCATATCTGTCCGCACTGCCTACGCTCATCAGTGTGCGCTCCACGAATGTGTACGAAGAGAATTCACTTGGAATCTATCCCGATGACGACGACGACGACAAATTTAACGAGAAGACGTTAAAGGTGAAGGAGAAACGCGTGCAAATCTGGGGACGCCACCTCGTGCGCCACGTGCAGAAACAGCTGTCATTCGGTATGCCGTTGTCTTTGCGATTGTCCTCCATCTTACGGAAT